AAGTGTTGTATAAAATGCCAGAGTCAGTGAAGGCATAAAATTAAAAGATTGCAAGAAGTTTCTAGATTGCAATGTATGCAAGAAAACTAAAGCACAGTCAGCTCCAATTAGTAAGAAGAGTTTGAGAAACTCAGAGGAAAAGTTTCAGTTGGTACATGCTGATTTAATAGGACCATTTCAACCGAGTAAGGGCGGAGCCTGTTATATACTGTGTTTATTAGATGACTATTCTTGTTTTTCTTGGTGTTTTTTGTTGAAACAAAAGACTGAAGTTTTTGATATTATTAAGAATTGGGTGGCATATGTGAAGAGACAATTTGGAGTAGGAGTAAAGGCACTCCAAACTGACAGAGGAGGAGAGTTTACTTCGCATAGTTTAGAACATTTTCTGAAGCAAGAGGGGATAAAGCACAGACTCACATGTGCTTATCAAAGTGCAGAAAATTGAAAAATTGAAAGGTTTGTAAGAAAAGTGCTAACAGTTAAAGATTCTTTGTTGGAAGATTCTGGATTATCCCAAAATCTATGGGGAGAAGCAGTAATGACTGCATGTTATTTAATTAATAGACTCTGGTGTGAGCCTATTCAGTTGGCTATGCACAGGGAGCCAAAGCTTGGCGATTTTTAGATAATGAAGAAAACATTGTTATATCAAGATCTGCTAATTTTGCCTGTAGCCAGAATTGGGATAAGATTCATGCTAATCAGGAAGTTTTCTTTCCTATTTCAAAAGAGGAAACTCATGAGCAAGGTAGACAAAACACAAAGCAAGAAAGTGCTGCTACACCTCAACTCATGAGTAAGCCTATAATTAGAAAATTTAAGAGGTCTAGGTCCTCAGATGAGGATGATGGGGTAAATGAAGATTCTGGGGAAGGAACTAGTCAGGAAATTTTACTCAGAAGGAGTGAGAGAACCAGAAAGAAACCTGACAGGTTCACAATGCAACATGTGAGAGTATGTTTAGTTAATTATGAGCCTCAAAGTTTTGAGGAAATAGAAAGTTTGCCACAAGGGGAGAAAGAGAAATGGTTAGAGGCTATAGATGAAGAGCTGAAAAGCATGGAAAGGTTAAATGTGTATGAGCCTGCAGATTTACCAAGAGGGAGTAATCCTATTGACACAAAATGGATTTTTAAGCAAAAGATTGATGCTAATGGTCAAGTAAGGTACAAAGCGCGTCTTGTTGCTAGAGGGTTTACACAGATTAGGGACATAGATTACCCATTATCAAATGTCAGGCATTTTGCTATTTTTAATGTTTGTTCACTGTTTTACATGACTGCTTGCTTCTTTTACACGATCATGTCACCGTCACATTGTTCACAATGAAGAAATAGCAGGAGTCTCTCTCAGTATGTACACCTTTCTAAAAGCTTGAATTCTCACTTCTGGATGGATAAAAATCTGGGGATTATGCTGCCTGGTCAGACTAACTGTACCCGTTCTACTAAACTTGATCCTAATTCTAGGTCAGAGAAGGTATGCCTCTGTCCCTACTGGTCTTCACTGAAGAGATTCTCTGCAACGAAGAGTCAGTGACTGAAAGGGAAACTTTGGCTGCCGCTGTAAGGGAGAGAACAGCCAGCTCAATGCAAGGACTGACAAAAGGGAATTCTGAACTTCCCTTAGAGAATGAAAGCTTTTCGCAAAGAACCTCTGAAGAAAACAATAAGTGAAAAAGAAAACAAGAAGGAAGAATGAAGAGGAAGGACAAAAACTTCAGGTTCCTCCAGCACTTCCTCCTGTGGCCTTGACCAAGGAAATAAAAACAGAGGTCTCTGAAAAGAAAACAGAGGTAGTCCATGGATGGTGTGTGGTCCATGGAATAGTACTTTACTGCCCAGTATCTATTAAGTTTCTTTTGCTGTTCCGTGGTGGCATGGGGGCAAGTAGCAGCAAGTGGCTGCGGCAAGCAGAGACAGGTGGCGGGGCCTGGCAGGTAGCGGCAAGAGGCAGTGGCAGGAACAAGTGGTTGCAGTTTTCAAGCAGGGGCAGCAGATAGGGAGAAGCAGCAACAGGTGGGGAGGTAAGCGGTGTCAAGTGGGCAGGCAGGAGGCAAGCAGCAGCAGGCAGGTAGGAGGGCAAGCAGTAGTGGAGATAAGCAGCAGCAAATGGTTGCAGCAGGCAGGGACAAGCAGGGAGGCCAGCAGGCGGTGGCAGGTGGTGGTGGTTGGCAGGCAGGGCAAGGAGTGGCAGCGGCAGGAGGGGAAAGCTTTGGCAGGCGGCAAAACCTAGCAGGCTGCACCAACACAGTGTGCAGACCGCATGGCCTCATCTATGTCCAGGATGGGGAGAACCATGTCCCTTTCATCTGCCTGTCACAAACATCGCTGTTCCTGAAGATTTATCAGATTACTAAATCTGTGAGGACTGTGTGCTGAGAGATAAGACAACTCAGAGGAATGTCTCACATACCAGTTGACACAAGGAAATCATTCTATCCTGCAAGACTGCCATAAAAATATGACCCCTCCTCTGGAGGGCAAAGTTTGGCCTTCACTCCTTGTAACCAACACCTCCAGAGATAAGAGAAAGACAAAATAAATTAGAAAACTCCACCATCCCCAAGAAGCTCATGCTCAGTGGGTGGATGGGCTCCTTTCCCAGATATCCCGTGGTAAATTCCCTGGCTTCTTTTGAGAGACTATGTATATGAAGATGGGCAAGAACAAATAAAAAGCCTAAGAAAGAAGATGTTAAAGAACCTTTTTCTCATAGTCTACTACTTGTACATATGGGATAATCATTGTAGCCTTTTAATTTTTGGTTGTAATAAAGTCCTTGAAAGTAAATAAATAAATGCGTTACTGACAAAGGTTAACCTTGGAGGAGTGTTTGAGTACAAGGTAATGCCTGTGAAGTACAAATGTCAATGGTTCTACAATAGCATTTTAGGGTCACCCAGTCTGAAAAATATTTACTCAAAAAATCCCAGTAATTTCAATAAGATTTAGTTCCATGTAAATTGTCATAGGATTTCAGGCTAAGGATGTAATCAGATTACAAAGCAGACAGAGGGAAAATGCAATCATATTGCTGGATTTGGTGCTAAAGTTCATGTACTTCAATTTTTACATTCAGACACACTGAATATCTCAAGGAAGAGAAATCACCCACTTGACAAACATATCAATGTATTGCCTATTTCAAGTAGATGTCTTTGCTTCTACCATATTTACAGTTCAGTTTTGCAAGGCCTTTAGAGGCATGGTTCTTGCAAAACAAGACAGCAAACCTGGCCTTAGATTATGCTACTTCAGATTTTCACAGGGCTGCCTGGAGTAGTAAAGACAAGATCCAGACTTGTCAGCTTCTTTGTGACAACAGTAACATCAAAAGTGAGGATGTTTGAGTCTGGTACATTGACTTGGAAAGGAAAATAGAAACTAAGAGACTAGCAGGCAGGTGGAATAAGGAAACTACCCTGGAATAAGGACTTGCACTGAAAAATTGTTTAAGGTGGTCTTGGGCAAAATGATGAAACGAGGACATGCTGGAAGATGATATGACCATATGCAAATATGAAAGATTGCTTAATGAAAAGAAATGGGTATTATTACCAAAGTATGCCAGGTATTATCTGGAATGATACTTAGACACAATTTGGCTTTACCAGTGAACAAAATGGGCCAACATCTCTGAATGAAGTCGCCTGATCACTTTCCCAAGAGAGGACAAGCCATTTATTCATTTATTTATTTATTTATTTATTTATTTTTCGAACTTATATGCCGCCACTCCCCTGGGGCTCGGGAGCGGCTTACAAGAACGGCTAAAATCTAACACCATTTAAAACAATTTAAAAACAGCAATATCAAAAATCAAAGGCCTGTCAAAACAGGTATGTCTTACATGCCCTGCGGAAAGCTGGTAAGTCCCACAAGGCACGGACTTCAGGTGGCAGAGTATTCCAGAGTGATGGTGCCACTGCTGTAAAGGCTCTGTGTCTGGTTGCTGTTAGATGCAAGGTCTTGACACTGGAAATTTCCAATAGATCTTGGTGCTCAGAATGGAGGGATCTCTGGGGTTGGTAGGGGGTGAGGCGGTCCCTCAGGTACATCGGCCCCAGACCATGCAAGGCCTTAAAGGTGAGTACCATCACTTTGAAAGTGATCCGGTGCTCAATTGGTAACCAATGCAGCTGTAGTAAGATTGGTGTGATGTGGCATCTCATCGGAATTCCCGCAAGAAGCCGAGCAGCTGCATTTTGTACCAACTTGAGCTTCCGGATCACCGACAGAGGAAGGCCAATGTAGAGAGCGTTACAGTAGTCCAGTCTTGAGATGACCGTAGCCTGGATCACCGTAGCTAGGTCGTCCCTGGACAGGTAGGGGGCCAGCCATCTAGCCTGCCGCAGATGAAAAAAAGCGGTTCTGCTCACGGCGGAGACCTGGGCCTCCATCGTCAGCAGAGGGTCCAAAAGGACTCCCAGACTCTTTACCAATGATGACGGACGTAGAGCGTCATCACTGCAAAGCTTCCATTTCCAACTAGCTGATGGGAATTCTACTGCTACTGTTGAAAACAAAACAAAACAAAACAAAAAAGATCATTTTGCCTTCTCAGTGTTGTCCCAACATGCACTAGATGGACTTTAGAGATTTCTCTTTCCTGTAACAGGTTTGGGAATGGTATACCTAGATATTTCCCTCTTCTACTAATACCTTCATGAAGCTTCTTTTTTCCTAGAAGCTAACAGAAAAGGGGCTGCATTCTGCCTCTCTGGGTCATAGATAGGGGCAGAACAGGAAAAGATGGCATTGTAGTTTTAAAGAGACAAGCTAGTCAAGTGCAGTGAACAGTGATCTGAATAGCTATCAGTGCCGACACTGATACTGTTCAGTTGTCTCAAAGTGAACAACTTTGGATCCACTGAGCACTCAAGAACCCCTAAAGATTTAGCAACTTCCAAGCCATCCAAGAACCCTGGAAAGTCACATGACTAAGTCCAAGCAGTAAAATCCATGCTGCCACATGGAGAAGAAAAGAACTGCAGATTACAAGCCATATGAAAAACAGTTTATCTCCTCTATGTTTGGGCTGACTGAAGTGCGAGAGCCCTCATTCCTGGGCACATGGAGTCTCTGAAGATTTCCTTCTCATTGCAACAATTCCTCCCAGCAGATGGGTCTAGAAAAAACTTCCCTTTCCAGCCACAAGTCATAATTCATTTGGAAATCTTCAGGCAGCTCAACACGTTGGCCCAGAACGCTCTGCAAACAGTTATCCACTGGCAGAAAATCGGGGTTGTTATGTGCACGGTCATAGCGTCGAGAATTGAAGCGCTCTATGCTGGCACGCAGTGCACACTCTTCAGCTTGGAAGTCCCATGGACGAGCATCCAAGTCTGCAGAAGAGAGGAAGCAGGTAATCAACCAAGGCAGCCAATGCATCCCACTGTAGTAAAAAAATGCAACAAGGAACATTCTCCTATGCAACCTCCTGTGTGTTTTGAGCAGAAAAAACTTCTTCCTGTTGGAAAGATCCTCAGTGTTTGATGAGGATCAGGAATAACTTTGTATCAAATAAATACCAAGAATGGCATAACAGCAACACCACTGAAAGTCATGGGATTGAGATTGTTACAGATTGAGTGAGATAGATAGATAGATAGATAGATAGATAGATAGATAGATAGATAGATAGGTAGGTAGGTAGGTAGGTAGGTAGGTAGATATTCTGCAGTTGTTTTTCAGTTAACAATAAAAGCTATATAGCTGAAATGCACAGGAAAATCTGGACTTCTCAGAAATGTTCTCATATGTAAAAATTCATATTTATCCCCAATTTTGGTGACATATCTTATTTTGTCCTTCACAACAAGGTTAACTGCAGAATAGATTTAGACTGAGAAGCACAGCTAACTGTTCATTCAAACCTGGAATACTCTGGTCCAGGACTGGTACTCTAGCAACTGCATAAATACTATTATAGCAAAATATGACCAGCTGGAAAGGGATGTATGACATCATGACTCATTCAGAGTAAAATACTTCCAGGTTGCTGTGAGTTTTCCAGTCTGTATGGCCATGTTTCAGAAGCATTTTCTCCTGATGTTTTTGCCTACATTTATGGCAGGGATCCTCAGAGGATGCTTGCAATAGATATGGGCAAAACATCCGGAGGGAACATGGCCATACAGCCTGGAAAACTCCAGTCATAAAAGCCTTTGACAACACACTGAAATACTTCCTTTTGTAGCTTGCTATGTTTAGGATAAATGGCACAGTTAGCATTTCTTACTTTTTCTGCTGCAATCTACTAAAAGAAGATACAGAATTCAAGAGTATGATGTGACAAGTGAAAGTTCATCAACAACCAGAGATCAAGGTTAGGTGAGAAGAAGAGAGTTAGACAAAGAACATACCATTGCCATAAGCCCAGTCATCATTCAGTCGATGCCGCACCTTCTGATAGATTGCGGACATTGTTTTCATGTTGCTCTTTCTCCACTGTCGCCCCAGATACTTTGTCTGCACTTTGAGAAGCTTCAGAACATAGAGCTGCATCATGGCTTGCTTTACCTTAAGGGCTCGTTTCAAAATGGGAGCCGACTTGAATACTACCAGCATCTGAGAAAGTGAGGTAATAGAAGTTCAGTTCCTTCATCACCAACAATTTGCTCAAGGTTTAGATGCTAAGTAAAGACTTAGTAGTGTTAGGAACAACATACACAGCAATCTACTCACCATGGTTCTTGAGTGTTTCCATTTCGTTAATTTATTCAATATCCTTAGTAGATTAATGCAGGAAAAAAGGTTCCGCCAGCAAAACTGATTGTTATCTCCAGCCTCCTAGAGGACAAAGAAGCCAAAGAAAATATGAACAAGAGAGGAAAGTCATCATATTGAATGTGTTGTCGAAGGCTTATTGAAGCCTTATCATACTGAAGCTCCCCCTAGTGACAAAGACATCTCTATTTCTATTTCCTCTGTTTGTCCACCTCTTTTAGGATGGAAGATAAAGGGAGCTTAGCTTCCTTTATCTCCCTGAGTTCCCTCTGGGTGATAGGACAGAATACAAATACAATTTATTATTATTAGCTCACCAGACTCTCTGCAGTCAGCTCAGGCAGCTCATGCACCACACAGTATGGATAATCCAAAACAGAGATGCTGAAAGATACAAAATATCCCAGAAACTTCAGAACAGATGAGCCACCCGGACAATTATACTACGAGTATCTTTTAAGAGTTGCTGACTGGAATCTTGTACAAACATATAAGAAAAATGATGATTGTGACAAGACTTTTCACATCTCGGCTTTCTAGCTTGAGATACTTATTTGCACATTTGTTCACATCCATTCTAGATACCTAGATCTAATACCTAGCAAAAGAAGGAAATCAACAAATCACTTAATAAAGCTTTGGAAAATCTTATCTGAAATTCTATCAAAGAAGTCTAGTGCTACTACATGGCCTTAGAAGGGCATGTGAACTGTAACTCAACATGAAGTGTTTAGATAACATATTTCTAACAAACTAGAAATGGCATTGCTAGAAATGTAAGTTTCCTCAGGGAACTTTGATCAGTTCCATGAGTAAACTCCCTTCCACACTCAATTTTAGTGAGTGACTAGACAATCTTAAGAGTCCCAAAGATAAGAGTGTATTTGGACATTTCAGAACACAAGTATGGCACCTACCTATTTTTGGCTGTAATATATGACATAATATTTTGATTGAAGAATTTCAATATAAGGGGAATGCAATTGGCAAATACCAGGTGTTGGGCCATGTATTCAAACTAAGGCAGGAGACACAAAGAAGCAAAAATGCCAAGTTATTGTCAATATTCTCTCTTCTCCACACCTTCCAATGCTGTTGATTCATGTCACCTTATGCTTACCTGATAGACATGATTTAACTTAAAGTGTTTGAGCAACAGCAGCAAAACAGCAGAAATTGCCTTTACGATTATCTCTTTGTGTCTGTTGACGTCAACTCCCAGTTTCATACTCTGCAACACAGTTGTTCTGGAAGCCAAAGACGTAATATTAACTTTTATGATATGCCTTTAACCTTAGACTTACTCAATTATTTATTTTACATCGTGCTTTTCTCCCACTACAGAATTCAAGGTGGCTATAGACACTTCAGTGCATTTTTAATGGAACCAGCATTTTACTACTGTTCCTACTTCTGCTACTTCATATTCTGTTTATATCCCCCGCCTCCCCAGTCTGGTGGCTTACAAACATTAAAACAAATACTGCTAACCATGTGCATTGTACAAAGGTCAAATATTTAATTGAACTAGCAGTTAAAGCAAACCACAAGGGCTACAACAAATAAAAAATTACTTAAAGATAGCAATGAGAGTGCCAGTCCTCTTTATTCTACTATTCTTTTTGTGTGGCATAATATTATAATCTTCCTCTAGTAAACTAATTTTAGTAAAGCTAAAGGTTTCCCCATAATATTAAGTCTAGTTGTGTCGGACTCTAAAGGGTGGTGCTCATCTCCATTTCTAAGCCGAAGAGCCGGCATTATCCATAGACACCTCCGAGTCCATGTCACCAGCATGACTGCATGGAGCACTGTTACCTTCCCAACGGAGTGGTACCTATTGATCTACCCACATTTGCATGTTTTAGAACTGTTAGGCTGGCAGAAGCTGGGGCTAACAGTGGGAGCTCACCCCGCTCCCCGGATCGCAACCATCGACCTTTCAGTCAGCAAGTTCAGTAGCTCAGTGGTTTAACCACTGAGCCACTGAGGATTAACCTACTTTTTAAAAACCTATCCATATGGGTTATTTTTGGTATTGTATTCATGGCTGCACTAGGTTTTAGTTGTTTTGTAACCTATTGCACATTTATTTATAAAGGAATGGAGGGGTATAAAACACACACACACGTTTATTTAACACTTAGAGACAGTCACATAAAATCTATGCATTGCGTTCTCTGTTGATTAACTAAATGTCTCAAATTCCGTAAGAATGAAACTCACGGCATCTCCTCTGGCAAAACATCTGCTAAGATATTAATGGAATCAGTCTTGGCTTTGGAGGTTGGTGCTGCAGCCAGCAAAATTTTCAGCAAGGCAATCTGTGAATCAAAGTTTACTTGAATGAGGGGAGAAGACACTCAAAGTACCCAAACACAGGAGAAAAGATAGGGTAGTTAGATAGAAATAAAACATCAAAGGATGGTTTAAAAATACATTTGCAAAGAACCAAGAGAACGATGATCGAGAAAATTGATAATTTCACCAATCTTAAGGATGATAGGAAAAATAAGGGTGCAAACTGACCAAGGAAGCAGAATAGTAAAACAAAGAAGAGATGGGAATGCATCTTGGCCAGGTGTGTGTGTGTGTCAGGAGCGACTTGAGAAACTGCAGGTTGCTTCTGGTGTGAGAGAATTAGCTGTTTGCAAGGACATTGCCCTGGGGACGTCCAGATGTTTTACAGAAGGGAGCTCACCCCCTCCCCAGATTTGAATCGCTGGCCTTTTGGTCAGCAGTTCAGCCAGCACAAGGGTTGAACCCATTGCGCCACCGGAGACTCCACCTTGGGAGAGATTATACAGTGAAGGAAACTACAACTTACCATATACTGGGGCAGGCTGGGAAGTAGACCTTGGTACAAGATTTCTGCAGGAACTTGTTCAACTTCTTCTTCTCCCTAGGAAAACAAGCAGATCTTTATAACCATTTTCCAGTCTCAAGTGCAAGCTAAGTTGGCCTAACTATTTCAATAATAATTCAAAGTTCTGGAACACAAGGCAAAACCTCACTTCATCTCTGAAGATCTTGCAGAGACAGACACGTGCTGCACAACATCGTGGCACAGAAAGAGTTGTACCCAGACTCTTTTTGTAACCTCGCTCCCACGTTCCTGTAGGGTCTTCCGCAACCCTATAGAGTACCGCTTAAACTGTGGGTCCTGATCACAAATGGGGTCCCCTTAGTTCAATGCTGGGGTCCCAAAATTGTTAACACTAAAAGGCTTCTGAACATCACTTAGTGACTGTTTTAGCCATATTCACAAATCTGTTGTGCAGTGGACTCTGCAGAAGGTACTTCAGCTATACTTCATAAAAAGGAGACTCAGCCTGTTTAGCAAGCATTAGACATGTTGATTTGTTATAAATAAATGTTGATTTTTATACTTATTCTATATACCTACATACCTGGGGTCATGTAAAACATTTTCAGGCTGAAAGGGGTCCCGAGTGGAAAAGTTTAAGAAACCCTGCTACAGAGCAACAAAACACTGCAACGGGAAGGAGGAATTGGCAATAAACCCCCTTTCCACAACTTCCCATTTTATTTTTTTTATTAATTTGTTCAATGTCTATCACAAAATGGGATTCAAAGTGGCTTATCATAATTTTTTAAGTATCTGTATTTACCATGGGGAAACACCTCTGGTTCTAAGCTAAGGGTCTGATCTGCAGGACAGAAAACTATTAACGTTGGCAACAAACTGGAAACTGCAAATGAAACTTATATCTCTGTCTAAGATGTGAAGATGGTAAAAATTCCTAGGACATGCGTACGAAAAAGAAAGTTTGCAGACAACGGGGGTGCAAGCAATTGCAACCCAAATTCAAGAATAGAGATTGAGACACTAAAGATGTTTTTGTCCCTCTGCTAGTTCCCTCTCCATTGTGCATTTTTCTCTTAATACTTACACCTGACAACGGGGAACGTAAATACTCCTCTTCCATTTGTACTTGAATTTCTGCAATAGATGTATATTTGTGCTAAAAAGAGAGATTTTTTGAAAAATTAACCACACCATATTAAGCAATGCCATAGATTGCAATATGTTTCCCACCTGAGAACTTATTAGCCTGGGAAATCACTAAATGAAATAGACAGGAAACACAAAGTGAGAACTCACCAGCTTCAGAGTTTTGATACTCTCATGAATAGGTCTGGGCAATCCCACTACTGTATTGGTGTCACTAGAGAGAGAAAGGAAAACAACGTAATCTGTGATATAATGATGCTGTATTAATAAAACTGTGAACTGAAGGCCAGTCAAACTGACTGAAACATTCTGAGCTGTTTTTTCCCCCCAATAGCGCTGTTGCAATCTGCTAAATATTGCAAGCTATAAACGTATTGACAACCAGGAGTAAGAAATACTGGGAATAATCAGACTGTCTATTGAGGAAACATACACACAAATAGGTTACTCAAGAAAAATGTGTCATTTTTCTTATAACTTAAAAGTTTATTCCACAAGAAAAAAACATTTTACTGTAAGTGAAGCAAATGCATGTAGTCATCTAACTCACCTCCCCAAGGTGTAGCCAATGAATTTGCTCCGACTAGATTCCAAAAACATCTCAATGTCTTTCTCCCTGCGGAAAAGAGGCAAGAAAAACATCCAAGGCTTCTTTAGGGCTCTGTCTCAATAGGACCCTGTTCAGCCTAATGCAACGTAAGTCTGACAGTGCTGGAAATGGATGAAGACAGCCTCTCTATGCATATAGGAGCAGCCATACTCTTGGAAAAAACAGTTCTGTTTATGATAACAGAAGGGTTTTTCCTAGACTAACTGTAACGTGTTATTAATCCTTCTACATCCAAGCTGTGCTTCATTCCCACAGAAATTAGGCTAAGGGAACATATGCATTTGGCTTCAATGGGTGAAGAAGGGGAGGTGATGGTATGTAGGGAGGGTTGATCCTGCCAGGAGTTCTATGCAGTCATAAAATTCCCAGTTAAAGCAAAAGGGACTCTATTAGCTCCAGTTAAGAAGCCAGAAACTTTCAGATAGTTAAGGGGATTCTCCAGGAACAAGAAAAAAGTTGCTCTTTCCAAAAGGAAGATTTTTCCCTTTAGTTGCAGCAGCATTATAAACATAGTATATACGATTTGTACAAACTCTCTCTCTCTCTCTCCAATCCTCCAACAGACCATCCACATCAACCCTCACCAACTAACACAGGGTTACGACAACCTATATAGTATAGTCTCAGCACTAGCCAACACTCCCCAATTAAAGTGACACCTATGGTAAAGCCTGGAACACTGATCCTGTTATCGCTTAAAGAAATGCTGTGTAACTTACACATCCAGACAGATGCTAACCACCTCCATCTGTACTTCCAAAATCACCACCACCATGTTACAGCCAGGGAATGCTTCCCACGGATGCCACCTGAAGGTTTCTTCTAAAACAGTGGTTCTCAACCTATGGGTCCCCGGGTGTTTTGGCCTACAACTCTCAGAAATTCCAGCCAGTTTCCCAGCTGTTAAGATTTCTGGGAGTTGAAGGCCAAAACATCTGGGGACCCATAGGTTGAGAACCACTGTTCTAAAACCTACTTTGGAGGGGTGGGACAAAGAAAGTAGGACATGGGCCACAGGGTGAGGCTTCATAGGTCAGATATGGTCTATAGATTATTTATGCTTTAGGGTAGCTCCTCATTATTGTTGCCGTATTTCATTCACCCTGTTAGAACTGTATTTTATAAATAAGTGTTGTAGTCCAGCCTTTGCTTGTGCCGGCACCTAGTCTGGGGATTTTGGACCTGTTAGTCAGCCTGATGACACTACGGATTCTGGGTCTGCAAGTCAGCAGGAGAAGCAGGAGAGCCAGGGGAAGTTTTTAAGTCCTGCAAATGAGTGGTATCTGTCTGAAGGCCACATTCCAGAAAGTCAGTTTGCTAAGGAAGCAAGGTCAGAAAACAGAACTGAGTTCCGAGGATGAAAATAAAAGTCCAGGTGGACAGACTAATGAGCAGTTAGATAGATTTACCTTCGGTGAACACAGAGCTTTCCAGGAGAGTTTACTAAGGTTAAGACGCCTATTAGTCAAGAAGTCCTTATCAGTTCCCCAGGAGAGAAGGCATTTTTTCTCAGCAATATGCCCTCAAAATGCACTTTATCATTGAGTTAGGACTGACTGCGTTCCTTCACTTCTCTCTGAAAATGTTCATGTCACGTCAGCATTATTTTAATTTTAATCTATTACATTTGGCCCGGCCATTGGTTTTTAAATGCTTGTACGTCACCGTTGATTGTTTATTGCTTATTTTTGTTTATGTGATTTATATGAATTGTATTGTATTGATTGCTTTATTTGATGTTTTGTTTTATTGGTGTATTGTGGGCTTGGCCGCATGTAAGCTGCACCGAGTCCCTTGGGGAGATGGTAGTGGGGTACAAATAAAGATTATTATTATTATTATTATCTGTCTATATTAGCAAGACTGACACGCTTTTTCGCCAGTCGAGGCAATGTTGGGGTTTGAGTATAGAACTTATGACAAGTCAAGGGATTTCTAGTTCCATGTTTCCTTTGTTCATGTTTCATGCCTCCAAGTTTTGAGGACTGTTCCTGAATCTCATGTTTTGGATTTATTCTGCTTTTGTATTCCTGCTTTTTGATGCTACTCATGTACTTTGATTTCTGTGGATTATTCCTGATATTTGGACTTTGGTTTCTTATACGATTTTGCTGAATTGCTTTTCATATATATTCTTCAATAAACTGCTTTGCTATTTTACCTTGGATTGGAGTGTGTGTTAAGTACAGAGGTGATTCCCAGCCTTGGAGTGAAATAATAATAATAACCAAGACTCTTTGCATCCCAGAAATCCCAAATCTTCACACTGTGAGCACTCTAGCAACATTCAAGGAGAGGGGCAAACCCCAATTTATTCTGTATCCTGTCTCAACGCTCACAGTTACTGAATCAATTTAAAAAACCAGAAGATATTTTTATTGTTGTCATTTCCTGCAAGTATCTATTGAAAGCAACAGCCAAGCCAGGCATTCTCGAAGGTGCTTCTAAAACAACAATCCAGTCTAAGTGCTTACCTAACTTTTGGAGCCCAAGGCAACCCTTTGGGGCAGGTCAGCCTGTCAGTAGGAGGATGCTGGATTGGAGGGGGCATCACTTCATCTCTTTCAAGGGGAAATGTCTCCCCCTCAAGACTATTGTCATCATCATTCTCTTCTTCCTCTTCACGCGAATCATCAGCTTTGTATGGATCTCTCTCATTGAAGGCATCAAGGTTATCTTGTTTAATAAGAGCCTAGAAGGACAAATAAGCAGTGAAAGGGAGCTGAGCTTCTGCCTCTTTCTTGTCAACCACAAATCTTCAAAATATATTGGAAGGAGACTTCCAATATTATTTAAAGAAAGAAATGCACGTCTGATTCCCACCCTGACAAACCAGAATGTGAGCTCTGAGTCACAAGCTCTTCATCCTAATATAGTTTCCAAAGTTGCTAAGTCACTATTGTAAAATGAATGTTCTTGGAAAATCTCATCAAGCTAATGGACAAGATAGAAGTTAAACTAGACAACTAGGTTTCAGTTGGTCATATACAACATTCCTTGAGGGAAATCAAATATGCTACATAACCTTCAGTTTAGCTTGGGCTTTTTCTGAGTAATGTCCCCAGCATCAGGATACACAAATAACAGAGATGCAAGCAATTTTGGGATTAGAACATGCAAAGCCATTTTTGTTCCCCTTTCAAGAGAGGATTGTTTTCTCCAAGACCTCTCTTTGTTCCCAAACTCACCTTGTGTTCTCGCCGCCCTCGTTTCTGCTGCTGTTCTATGAGATCAGAAGCAGAGGCTGGAGGAGAGGCAGCCCGCATGTTGCGAATCACTTTTATGCTGTCCTCAGGAAGTGGAGGGAGACCCAGCATCTCTCGTTTTTCTGCCTTCATATCTTGAAGTTCTTCAAATCCTCCAAGTGTACACTACACAAGAAGAGAAAGCCCAACTGGTCACTTAAATTAACCCTCTGACCATTCAGGAACTAGGAGCCCCCAGTGGCGCAATGGGTTAAACCCTTGTACCAGCAGGATCGAAGACTGACAGGTCAGAGGTTCGAATCCAGGGAGAGCGCAGATGAGCTCCCCCTGTCAGCTCCAGCTCCCCACGCGGGGACTTGAGAGAAGCCTCCCACAAGGATAGTTAAACATCAAAACATCTGGAAATCCCCTGAGCAACATCCTTGCAGATGGCCAATTCTCTCACACCAGAAGCGACTTGCAGTTTCTCAACAAACAAACAAAAATCAGGAACTATGAAAAGTTGCTTTGCTATTGATATTATTTTAAGCATTAGGAATGAATGATTCGCTGCAGTCACAAATATACCCCAAATTCCTTAAAGAATCATTTCTGAATGTAGGATGGCACAGTGCAAGCAAAGAATTATCATATTTTAAGAATGGTTCAGTGTTGCTATTGTGCCCCATTTTCATGAACAACATTTTTAAAATAATGAAGCATACTTATGAAGTTTAGAACATCACATTTCTAGTACTGAAATTCTCTTAACATGCCCTGCTTTTTAAGCATGTTCAGAGATGTTGCATGAGGCTTCCAGCTAATTTCATATTTAGGAAGTGATAAGAGGAAGCTTTGCTTAGCTTGAACTAAGCGACATTTTCTCCCAAGGTGTACACTGAGTTGATTTATTATTGTACTCTTGATTTCATTGCCAGACCACCAGAGAAATGTCAAAGCAAGCAATTTTATATGATTGGGATGTTTGGTAGAGAGACAAGTATGGCACATTGTGATGAACAAAAAAGGAATCATTCAAAAACTGGAGATACTTTTGCTACATTATCTTTGATGTTTAATTAAGTTGATACAGTCGTTATCTTAAAATGGCCAACTACGTAGTAACCTTATAGCATCAGTTTTTTACAGCACTGTCGGAAAACCATACATTTTGGAAACTTTATGCAGGGATACATTAAAATAATACACAGACCAAAAGAAGCCCAACAGATTACATAGGAGGCATTCTTAGTAGTTATTATTTTATGCTTATTCACGGATAGTAGCCTCTTACCAGGACAGTTTTCCACAGGAGAAGCAACACCTTCTTCATAGGGAAGTGAGGGGCATGGCCACTGCAGAATTTGGTCACCATTCCAAAGAGCATTACAGAAAATGGTTCACTGTTATACAGAGGTGCCCCTGAAAGACAGTTTATTGGTAACAGCCATGTTATATGCAAAGATCTTGGTTCTTGCTATTCCCTACAGCAGACAATTCACTTGTGTTTTCAAACTATCTGCCATTATACTGTGTACAACTATGACTTTCTCTTCTCCTGCACCTGTACTCAGTTTTTACGTCATATAGGGGCTAAATTCATATTTACAATAGTTGTATGCAATTAGATCAAAAACATAAGAGTTCCTTTCCAAGTTGACTGATACTTATTTCGTCATGAGAGTTATCCAGCACCTCCTACTTGGGTAACAAAAGAACACATACCTAATTCTGCTCTGAAGGTTTGCCTCATTGTCTTCCATTCAGGCTTGTCTCCTTCACATTCCTGACGAACTGTTTCTACAATAAGGTACATAATATTCAACAGCACCCTGAAAATGAATCGAAAAAAATAACTATGTAATTCAGCTTATTCAAACTGCAAGTCACTTCTGGTGCTTGCAGTTTTTCAAGTCTAAATTCACACACACATATTTATTTATGGCATTTATATGCCGCCCTTCTCACCCCGAAGGGGACTCAGAGCGGCTTTGTTGTTGTTCATTCGTTCAGTCGTCTCCGACTCTTCGTGACCTCATGGACCAGCCTACGCCAGAGCTCCCTGTCGGCCGTTACCACACCCAGCTCCCTCAAGGTCAGTCCAGTCACTTCAAGGATGCCATCCATCCATCTTGCCCTTGGTCGGCCCCTCTTCCTTTTGCCTTCCACTTTCCCCATCATAATTGTCTTCTCTAGGCTTTGCTGTCTCCTCATGATGTGGCCAAAGTACTTCAACTTTGTCTCTAGTATCCTTCCCTCCAGTGAGCAGTCGGGCTTTATTTCCTGGAGAATGGACTGGTTGGATCTTCTCGCAGTCCAAGGCACTCTCAGCACTTTCCTCCAACACCACAGCTCAAAAGCATCGATCTTCCTTCGCTCAGCCTTCCCTAACGTCCAGCTCTCACATCCGTAGGTGACTACAGGGAATACCATGGCTTTGACTAGGCGGATCTTTGTTGCCAGTCTGATGTCTCTACTCTTCACTATTTTATCGAGACTGGACATTGCTCTCCTCCCAAGAAGTAAGCGTCTTCTGATTTCCTGGCTACAGTCTGCATCTGCAGTAATCTTTGCACCTAGAAATACAAAGTCTGTCACGGCCTCCAGGTTTTCTCCCTCTATTTTCCAGTTGTCAATCATTCTTGTTGCCATAATCTTGGTTTTTTTACGTTTAGCTGCAACCCAGCTTTTGCGCTTTCTTCTTTCACCTTGATTAAAGGCTCCTCAGCTCCTCCTCGCTTTCGGCCATCAGAGTGGTGTCATCTGCATATCTGAGGTTGTTAATGTTTCTTCCAGCAATTTTCACCCCAGCTTTGCATTCATCAGCCCCGCACATCGCATGATGTGTTCTGCATACAAGTTAAAAAGGTTGGGTGAGAGGATGCAGCCTTGCCGTACGCCTTTCCCAATCTTGAACCAGTCTGTTGTTCCGTGGTCAGTTCTGACTATTGCTACTTGGTCCTTGTACAGATTCCTCAGGAGAGAGACAAGGTGGCTTGGGATGCCCATCCCACCAAGAACTTGCCACAATTTATTATGATCCACACAGTCAAAGGCTTTAGAATAGTCAATGAAGCAGAAGTAGATGTTTTTCTGAAACTCCCTGCCTTTCTCCATTATCCAGCGGATATTGGCGATCTGGTCTCTCGTTCCTCTGCCTTTTCTAAACCCAGCTTGAACATCTGGCAACTCTCGCTCCATGTATTGCTGGAGTCTTCCTTGCAGGATCTTGAGCATTACCTTACTGGCATGAGAAATAAGGGCCACTGTACGGAAGTTTGAGGAGTCTTTTGCATTTCCCTTTTTTGGTATAGGGATATAAGTTGATTTTTTCCAGTCTGATGGCCATTCTTGTGTTTTTCGTATTTGCTGGCAAATGGCATGCATCACCTTGACAGCATCATCTTTTAAGATTTTAAACAGTTCAGCTGGGATCCCGTCGTCTCCTGCTGCCTTGTTGTTAGCAATGCTTCTTAAGGCCCATTCAACCTCACTCCTCAGGATGTCTGGTTCTAATTCATTCACCACACCGTCAAAGCTATCCTCGATATTGCTATCCTTCCTATACAGATCTTCTGTATAGTCTCGCCACCTTCTCTTGATCTCTTCAGCTTCTGTTAGGTCCCTGCCATCTTTGTTTCTTATCATACCAATTTTTGCCTGAAATTTACCTCCAATGTTTCTAATTTTCTGGAAGGGGTCTCTTGTCCTTCCTATTCTGTTGTCTTCTTCCACTTCCATGCATTGCTTATTTAAATAGTTCCTTATCTCTTCTGGCTAACCTCTGGAATTGCGCATTTAACTGGGCATATCTCCCCTTTATCACTGTTTCCTTTTGCTTTCCTCCTTTCTTGGGCTACTTCCAGTGTCTCAGCAGACAACCATTTTGCCTTCTTGGTTTTCTTTTTCTTTGGAACGTACTTTGTTGCCGCCTCCTGAACAATGTCGGACTTCTGTCCATAGTTCTTCTGGGACTCTGTTTACTAAATCTAGTCCTTCAAATCTGTTCTTCACTTCCACTGTATATTCGCTAGGAATGTTAGTGAGATCATATCTAACTGGTCTGTGTATTTTCCCTGATCTCTTTAGTTTTATTCTAAATTGGGCAATAAGAAGTTCGTGATCTGAGCTACAGTCAGCCCCAGGTCTTGTTTTCACCGACTGGATGGATGTCCGCCACCTTTGGCTGCAAAGGATGTAGTCAATCAGATTTCGGTGTTGACCATCTGGTGAGGTCCATGTATAAAGCCGTCTTTTAGGTTGTTGGAAGAGAGTATTCGTTATACACAGCGAGTTTTCCTGGCAAAATTCTATCAGCCTGCGTCCCGCTTCATTTTGTTCTCCCAGACCATGCTTGCCTGTGATCCCAGTTGTCATTTGACTTCCCACCTGGCATTCCAGTCTCCTGTAATGAAAATAATGTCTCTTTTTGGTGTATTATCCAGTAGGTCCTGCAGATCCTCATAGAACTGATCTACTTCTGCTTCTTCAGCAGCTGTGGTTGGGACGTATATTTGGATCACTGTAATGTTGAAAGGCTTTCCTTGCACTTGAATTGAGATCATTCTGTCATTTTTTGGGTTGTATCCAAGCACCGCTTTAGCGAATTTCTTATTAATTATGAAGGCTACTCCATTTCTTCGATGTTCCTCTTGTCAGCAGTAGTAGATCTGGTGGTCATCTGATGTGAAGTGGCCCATTCCAGTCCATTTCAGTTCGCTGACCCCCAGAATGTCTATCTTTAGTCTTGACATCTCACCAATAACAACATCCAATTTGCCCTGGCTCATAGATCTTACATTCCAGGTTCCTATGGTGTGTTGATCTTTAGAGCATCGGATTCGTCGTTCGCCTCCAGTACCGTCGGCCGCTAGCCTTCCTTTCGGCTTTGAGCTAGCTGCGTCATCACATCTGGGGCTAGTTGAACTTATCCTCTGCTCCTCCCCAGTAGCATTTTGGCCATCTTCCGACCTGGGAGATTATATATATATAATACTGATACTGTACTATGCTAATAATATAATTTATTTTATTTATATATCTCAGAGCGGCTTAAAAGAGATATATAAAATAAATTATATTATTAGCATAGTACAGTATCAGTATTATACAGGGTTAGTCAAAATGAATAGGCCAATAAGAAAATTAATTTTAGACGAATGTATGTTTATTGTAACCAAACTACAGCTACGTAGCGACAGATAAACTATCAAAGTTTTGTCTCACCTTCAGAGATGTTCGATATGGGCGCCCCGTGTGACACGGCAGATGTCCAAGCGATAGTCCAGTTCATTCCACATCCGTTGCAGCACATCCGACGTAATGGCATCGAATGCAGCAACGTCTGGGAAGGTGTTCGTTGAGGTCCTAACCCTAACCCTAACCCTATCCCTAACCCTAACCCACCCTATCCCTAACCCTAACCCTAACCCTATCCCTAACCCTAACCCTAACCCTATCCCTAACCCTAACCCTATCCCTAACCCTAACCCTAACCCTTGAAATTCTCGCTGGACCGTAATTACTGACATTGTTTTAGCAAATGTCATCACACAAAACGCCTTCTCTTTGCTTGATTCCGCCATTTTGAAAACAGCGACCCCTAGCGACGCCTAGCGGCATTAACGTACATGTGTGTTGCTCAAAAAAAACTTTGATAGTTTATCTGTCGCTACGTAGCTGTGGTTTGGTTACAGTAAACATACATTCGTCTAAAATTAATTTTCTTATTGGCCTATTCATTTTGACTAACCCTGTATATTTCTATATTGTACTATACCATTATATTGTAATATTATTAGTAATATTACATGTAAAATAATATATATAATTATATCAAATTATTATTAGTAGTATTATATTGTATTACATTATATGTATAAATATTATATGTATATAATATTTTATGTAATATACATTACATAAAAAGGTTATTCAAAACTATTCTACAGTGATGCAAGTAAACTAAGTCATCCATTTAAGTATATAAACAGGGACTGGAGAGAATAACAGAAAAGAAAAATCTACTCGGTATATTTCAACTATTTTCCTCAGAAGTGGCAAAATATTATGCATGGAGGAACAAGAAAACATGTTTCACTGATAAAGGGCCAACAATTGCCTTGTATTCCTAGTCCATTATGTCCAAAATGACTGGGGTTTTTTTTTTTAGCTACTTGAAATTCTTCAGAAAAAAATGCACTCATTCCAGAGGACTGTGTCAATTAAATATTGGATACAAGCATCTCTTTTGGAGAACTGGCTATTTTTCTGCTTCATTGATCCAGCTACAGTTGAGGTAGCAGTTGTGTCCATGATCCACCAAGATAGACATCAGTGTTTGCTACTTTATATTCAGCTTGCTTGTCTTACTGCTCTCCTCTCTCTTTCACTGCCTCAATCAAGGAAATTTAAGACACAACACTACGCCACAAGAAATCTACAAAGTTGAATGCTGATAGCAGAATATGCATGAAAAACAAAAGCTGTAGGAGAAAGGAAAGGCATCTTTGCAAATGTGACTCTTTCATAAAGAAATTTCACCTCATCAGCAACATATTTTCTCACCTCAAGTCTGTGCTGTCAGCCAAGGAGATGGCAGGCTTCCTCACGGCACTGCTACAGGCAGCACTATTACTGGACAAAAAGAAGTAGAAAATATTGCTGAAATGTAACTGTCAGAGCAAAGAGAATTACACTTCATAAGCTTGCTCAGAGAGCATTCATTGTGTAAAGTAGTAGGTTGCATCTCCAAAGGAAGAATGAGACCCTACCCACTTAATATCTTTATGTGTGCCTTGGATCTTCAATAGGCATAAACAGACTACTGTATATACCTGAGTATAAGCCGACCCAAATATAAGCTGAGGCACCTAATTTTACCACAAAAAACTGGGAAAACTCACTGACTCGAGTATAAGCTGAGGGTGAGAAATGCAGCAGCTACTAGTAAATTTCAAAATAAAAATAGACACCAATAAAATTACATTAATTGAGGCATCAGCATGTTAAATGTTTTTGAATGTTTACATAAAACTGTAATTTAAAATAAGACTGTCCAACTCTGATTAAACCATTATTCTCACCTTCAATATAAATGTGGTTACGTATCTTTCTAACAATAATAAAGAATAAAATAATAAATGTATTAAAAATAATAATAGAGTAAAATAATGGAAATGTAATAATAACAATAATAGAGTAAAATAATAAATATAATAATAGAGTAAAATAATACATGTAATAATAGAGTAAAATAAAAATTGTAATATTAACAAAAATAAATAGAGTAAAATAATAAATGTAATAATAATAATATAATGATAAAACATAATGACCTTAACTCGGGTATAAGCCAAGAGGGCTTTTTCAGCCTAAAAAAGGGCTGAAAAACTCAGTTTATGTTCAAGTATATACAGTAAATTGGTATCTTTGTGGAAAAAGAATTACCGTACTTCTTCAACTGTAAGACACCATCGACTGTAAGATGCACCTTAATTTCAACACCACCACTACCAACAAATATATATATCACACACCTAAAGCACACCCTATTTTTTTAGAGAAGTTTAAATAGGAAAAAAGTACACCTTAGAATTGAAGAAATACAGTAGTCCATCTCCTTGTTGAAAAACTGGGACACTATCTATGCAAGAAATGAAATAAGAAACTGCCATCACCCAAACTCTTTATACAAGGACCTCAGAAGTGTGGGATGCAGACGATACAGGCCACCACCCAAGGTTGGCTGATTAACTGGGTCCACTTCCTTTGATTACAGGGTAAGAGTAGAAAAAACTCTTTGTTATTTTAAAAATGTAATACTGACCTACTCTGAGTTACACAAAATCCTTCCAGGATTGCTGTTCCTACTGCCAATTTTTGAATGAAATGCACCAGGATAAGAAGAGCCATTATAACTTAGAAGGAAAAGACTAAATGAATACATGTTTCTTTGTTAGAAATAATTCCATTCTGGTACTTATTTAACAGAATGAATGAAGGTTCTTCTTCCACCATTTAGCACCCATCATTGCAAATTAAACATCAAGAATCAAAGAATAAAATAAAGATCAAAATAATGGGACAGGGAGGTACTAGTTTGAGCCCAAGACAATTAATCTTTGTATTAGTCTAAGTTTGGCTCCTAGCTGATAAATTCACCAAAGTCATCCACAGAAGTTATAAATTCTAAATCACTTGAGTTTCCTTTATTTGAAAAAAAGTTTAAAAGTCTAAGGTTGTTACTTAATATGCAGATGAAAAGTATTAGCTGCAACACCTAGTGAGCTTTTTTTTTGCAATGTAAGGAAGAGGTAATATTCTATGAAATCAAAAACAAAATTAATCAAGCACCCAACTCATATATTGTTATAACTTGTGAAAGACAATCAGGCATCACACTCATTCAGCTATTTGTTCAGAAATATATATTGAGGTGGGCCAAATCATAATGGAGTAGAATAGCTACATTCTTCACAAAGGCTCAATTCTGCATTGACAATGAACTCACTCTATTTCCATGTTCAAAAGCTCCACCAAAGCATTGAAGGTGCCAACTTCAAGCAAAAGAAATATGTTGTATCTCATCCAGGACTGAACTTCAGCTTCCGAGCTGCATTCATCAAATGTACCTACAATCACAAATACATATTACATTGCACATCATAAAAATCACGGCAATCCACTGCTTATTTTACAGATAAAATATGCTATTGTTCCAAACAGAACCAAGACATTTTGCCCAGGAAAAAGGGAAAAGGATGTTCAAAGCTCAATAGATAATGACATCCGAATTTGAAAACAGTGGACTAGAATGCCAGTCTCTCCATGAATCTAGTCTTCAGAATCATATTGACTAACCACATGATTGTAACACAAGGCTGATGCAGGATTTTACATTGAAAGTCTGAGAGTATATGGTTATACTAATATCACATGAAATACTTTCCACATGAACAGATATAGATGGGACTTGGTTACCTGACAATTTTACTACATAAAATAAAATGATTGTGGTTTAGATCCAATTGCTGGTCCCAACTACAATCGAGGTAGGACAACTCTAAGATAAATTCCAGTCAGTGCATTCTTCTCTAGTAAAGACCAGCAACTACATTTAGAAATATTCTAGTGATTAAAATAATAATATGAATTAATATTATTTATCTAGTTATGATAACACTGGCCAACATACATTTTGATGTTTCAAATGTTAGTCCTTTTTCTGGGTATATTTGACCTCCTGATTCCAAAAATGGTACCACCTTTCCTCTGTCAGCTCTAGTTTTTTGAGTTACAAACACATGCCATATACCAGTCTTTTATCTGTTCGCCCATAAAAAAATGATAACCACATCTAAGAAACTATAGCAGATGTGGTCTATCCAATGCAATTTTCTGAATCAGAACCCTAAATAATTCCAGAAACAGACCTAAAATCCAAGACACCAAAAAATGTTACTGTTATTGGGCTGTGTAATCTATGTGCAAACCATAGACACACCTAGTGACAACTGTATTTAATGTTCTTGCTTAGAAACACAGTTCAGATTTATTCAGGAAAAAGATTAATGATACCTTCTGGTTCATTACCAAATTCAGTCCCAAACAATTAAGAATTATGGTTCAATCATTTAACTGTCATGTTCAAGGGAGAAAATGTAATAGAGTAGATATCACTGAATTAGTTCAGCTTTGTTAGCTTTAGTGGCAGTTTCATGTTGCAGAGGGGAAGAGTTTTTTCTTCCTGTCTTTTTAAAGACAGGAAGAAGATTAAAGATTAAAGAGATTTCAAAGAAGAATGTTAAATTACCATGTTGAAAAAAATTCCACAAAGGCATTAAACAGAAATTAGATGACATTTCCTAACTGAGCACTTCCTGTGAAAGTAACAAAAATGTACCTTGTGCGACATAAAGAATGGCTCGAGCCACCCTGAGCCTCTTCTCCCGTGCAGTGACCTCAAGGCCGTCCAGAAGCCTCATGGCATGAGTACGGTGCTGGTTGGTGTCCAATTCTATCCATTTTTTATCAAGCACTGCGAAAGCAAGCAGTTTGATGTGACGTTGCTTTCTGAAGAAAGGGATGGCATTACAAGACTGTCTAGCAAAGCCAGGGATATCCCTGTCTGAAATATTGGAGCAGCCAACTCTCCGAACAGATTCTATTGCAACTATACGTTGATTTTTGTACCTTGCATTTGGTGTATGCATTTTATAATGGTGTGTATCTATGTATTTGTATTTATGTTTGTATTAGTTAGGAAATTCTCCCAAAATAGAAGAGCATCTAAAAATACACACAGGATACTTAATTGAGCAGTTAGCTCATAACAAGCAGAAAGGTGAAGTGTTGTGTGGTTGCAAAAACATTTTGGGCTTAGCAGGCAAAGATGCAGAGATCAATCTTTAAAGTTCCAAAAAAAAATTATTTACAAATAATAACTATATTCCTTGATAGGAAAGTACTGGGTCTAAGTTTCTCTCTAACTCCATAACTTCTAAGTTCTAAAACAAGAGAAAAACCTCCAAACACTATTGCTTCAAACACACAGAGGAGAGAGGGGTCTGAATGCAAAGATGAGAAAGCAGAAGTCTTAAACAAAGGCATGCATCCTGAAGAGTATACATTTTGCACCACCAATTAAGATGAGAGCAGAAAGAGAGCGAGAGAGAACAAATAGATAAATTCCAACTGACATTCAGGAACCAGGGGTGGGGGTGGGATTCCCTCAGCTTAGCCTAACACTGTTTCTCATTGAGGACTACAGACTTGGGTAGTGGGGGGTTGACTTCAAACAGTATTTTACTGTATGTATTTTATGTTCATATGTTTTGACTTTGAAGATAGCTCAGTATCATAGCACCAATGTGGCAACTCTCTACATTTGTAGTCTTTGCACAAATAACATAGACAAGACGCACAAACAGCCAAAAATACCCATAAAACAAAAAGAAGGAAAAATGGAGAAATGACAGGAAGTCCAGATCTGGTTTTGATTTTTTTCCCCTTAATGTTAAACAGTGCAGAGTAATACTGCAGACTTTAAAAAAGGAACTTTCATTTGTAAAGACCTTTTTTCCTTTCAATAATTTTCTGAAAAATGAAGTTTTTCATCTTGTCCTCAAATTTTTTTAGTTCATACATTGACTTAAAAAGCAGTCCATGATGATTTGGTGAAATTAAATCAATTGAAGAAGAAAAAAACAAGTGATATTGAAACACCTAATTTATACTATTTAATTCCATTCAAAATAGAAAAGACCTGACTACACTTTAGAATTGATACAGACCGATGTCACAGTTTCATAGAAGACAGATGACACATCATTCTTACCATGGAGCCTAAAATCCTCTTCAAAGCATTTTCTGTTGAGCTGGAATTCAGGCCCTTCGGTGTAACTATATAGTTCTGTCCAGAGAGAATAGTAATTACCAGATGTTATATCGATCAGAGCACAATTTAAACAGTGGATTTTAACGTCAAGATAATAGATTTTAATGTGGTTTTTTTTGGTCACGTCAGGAGCAACTTGAGAAACTGCAAGTCGCTTCTGGTGTGAGAGAATTGGCCGTCTGCAAAGATGTTGCCCAGGGGACGTCCAGATGTTTTGATATTCTACCATCCTTGTGGGAGGCTTCTCTCACATCCCCGTATGGGGAGCTGGAGCTGACAGAGGGAGCTCATCCACGCTCTCATCGGATTTGAACCTATGACCTGTAGGTCTTCAGTCCTGCTGGCACAGGGGTTTAACCCAAAGCACCACCGGGAGCTCCGATTTTAATGTTTATGTAGGTGTATAGTGTAATTATATCCGGCATTGAATGTTTGCCGTTTATATGTTGTGCTCCACCCTGAGACCCCTTCGGGGTGAGAAGGGCAGAATATAAATGCTTTTAATTAATTAATTAATTAATTAAAGAAGACAGTGCTTTGCTGAAACATCAGCAGCATGATTTGAGATCGTTTTGTATTTTAACAAATACAGAGACACAAGACAGCCTTTTAAATATAGAGACGTCAATCTGGATCCAACCTATTACACTGACTGAATTTGCAAAAAGAACAGCATTTAACAAAAATGGAAACCATAATATAATGTGCAACGAGTGCCTTTTCCATTTTACAAAGATTTCTGTTTATACTTGCACAGGATTCCTTAGAAAAATAAGAGCATCATTCTCCAAATATTTAATTTTTCTGAAATCTCAGTATTCATTACAAAGATTAATGAAATGATTCAAAAGAAAGCAAGATCAGGAACAACTCTAAGCCGGGTTCTATTTTACCTGACAGTTCAGCAGCCCATTTGTCTGTATCGGCATATTCAAATTCAAAGTCTGGCGATTCTGAGAAGCCCTACAAAATAAATTAAATTTGAGATAAGGCAACGTAAATTTAAAAAAAAATCCTGTTGACTAAGGCAGGTTCAGTATTAAACATTGCTTAACTTTCCACCCACAGCTTCATAGTTACCATGGTAACCTGTTCATCCTGAAAGGATTGCATAAATCTTCCCCTCCCTCAAGCCTGCTCTGCTACATTACGCAAGTGTCAATCTCCAGTCATCCTGAAAGTCATTGGGCGCATCTACACTGTAGATTTTTTACAGTCTGATGCCACTTTACCTGCCATTGACTCTATGCTTTGGAGTTATGGGACTTGTAGTTTGGTGAGGTACTAGCCCTCTTCAGCAGAGAAGACTAAAGACCTTATAAACTACAACTCCCATGATTCCATAGCACTGAGTCACAGCAGTTAAAGCAGTGATTTCCACCCTGTGGTCTATGGACCACCAGTGGTGCGTAATAACTAAAATATGGTCCGCAGACTCAGTTGCTACACCGTTGCAACGAGAGCGACTGGTCGTGCAAAACCCTCTTATAGTACAGAGGCTTATTAAATATGGTTTTCTGTGGGCAAGCAGATGGCGACTACTGGATGGCATATGTTCTGTATCAGAAACTAGAGCTGATGTGGTCTATCCAATGCAATTTTCTGAATCAGCACCCCAAATAACCAAACAGAATCTAAAATGGACCAAAAACTGCTTCGTAACCCTTTTGGTACTAATGTTGGAGAGTGGTCCCTGGTCAAGAAAAGGTTGGGAACTACTGAGTTAAAGTGTTGTTGAATTGTATTAATTGTACAGTGCACATGTACCCTTAGACTATCTACCTGGAAGTAAGGTACAACCAAGTTCAATGGGACTTCAGAAAGGTCTCTGCTCCTAAGTATGATGAGAATGGGAGCAAAAGCTCCCATGAAGGCAGCCAGTGGAGGGATTTTCAGTTTGAGAGGTAAACAGTTCAATCTCTTTCTCCCCTCTCTCTTTATTCATCTATCTATATACATACACATAGCGTGCCCCCCCAAAATGTATGTCTTAACAGCATGTAATTCTGACTTGTTTGTAATAAAAAGAATATATACCTATAACAAGATTAAAGATTTCACATGTAGAGAAGTGTCATGACACTACAAGAGAATGTTTGAGTGGTTTGTAGCTCTGTGCTTCAACAATGCCAGCAGTGGGTGCATGGCTGGACAGACAAATTGCAATTTAAGAAGGAATTTGTAACTCTGATTACATCACTATTAGAAAAGTTCTTCTTCAATATAAATGCATTTACCTGTGTGTGTGTATGCGCCTTAAAATGGTCAATTGACTTATGGAGATACCATTAATTTTGCAAACTTTCTTAGATTAGGGAAAGTCAATGGTGGGTTTGCCAGTTTCTTCTTCTGAAGCATAGTCTTCAGCACCTGCTATTCCTTGGTGGTCTCCCACCCAAGTACACTATAGAATGAATGCAGTTTGATTCCACTCTGTGCTACAGCATCATGGGAGCTGTAGTTTGACAAAGTCTTTAGCCTTCTCTCCAAAGAGCGCTGGCACCTCACCAAACTATAAATTCCATAACCCATACCATTGAGCCAGGGCAGTTGAAGTGGTGTCAAACTGTATGAATTCTACAGTGTAGATGCACCCATTGATAGTTTTCCATGCCAAGATTTAAAAACAAATGCTAAATCAAAAAGAATGGATGTAGGCACCATCATCTCTTCAACCAAGGTCAACAGTACATGTATGGCTGAACAAATAGCTGCTAGCTGAGTACACTATGCAATACGATTTTTGTCCTTGGGTTTCAATGTCATTTCCTAATTGGTTCTATCATAAAAACATGGAAAAAGTTTATTAAACTGCAAAAATTATCTTCTTCTGGAGAGGAAAAGCAAAATATAAACAAACACCATAATATCCCTTCTCTCCAAAGAACAACTGAACTCTTACCTTGCTCATTAGCATATAGAGAGGAGGAAGATTAGATGATGATCTACTGCTACTATACCTCTGACTGAAAACTCTTATGGTACGTGGACTTTGTAATAATAATAATAATAATAATAATAATAATAATAATAATAATTTGTTTTTGCGGGACATCCTGCAGCACGTTTTGCTATCTCATTTGAACATTTGAATATCTCATGGGGCCTCAGTCAATTCAACATAGTTTGTGGCAGCCACAAAAACGAAGTTTCTGGAGGATAACAACTACTTTCAAAGTAAGGAGTGCACAAGTAAACAGGACATAACACTTTCAAACCAGGAACAGAAAACAATTCAAATGTTGTTACATAGTGGTATCAAAACGTGCCACTTCATTCCTCTGAAGAAATATTGCCTACCCACCTGGTACTTTTTGGCGGCCTCCCACCCAAGTGCGAACCAGGGCTGACCCTGCTTAGCTTTCCCAGATCAGCCAGGATGTGGTACCATTCAGGCGTTATCACCACAGCTCCTATTGGCTGACAATGGGCCTGTGCCTGGAACACACAAGGCCTGCCTGGCAGGTGAGCTGAGGAGCCTGCCTCTTCCCCCGCGCCAGCCAGCCAACCCCCCTGGCCCCCTCTCCCACCGACCTCCGAGTCCTTCCGCTGGTTGCGGTTGGGTTCCCGGCCCTTTCCCCCGGGCCCCGTCGGCGGCGTGGCCAGCCCCAGCGCCCCGCTCCGTTGCTTGTTGTTGACAATGAGCAAGCCGGCCGGACCCCCGACACCGCCCGGCTCCATCACGACGACGACGACGACGCCGCGCCGACAGCTCTCGCGAGACTTGGCAGAGCAACAAGCTTGCCGGAAACGCCGCCATCTTGAGAGTGGCGGATAGACTTAGACGGCGGCTCCCCGCGCAGGAGCCATGTTTGGGGTGGCTAGGTCAGGTATGGCCACACTTGGACCCTCCAGGTGTTTTGGACTTCAACTCCCACCATTCCTAACAGCCTCAGGCCCCTTCCTTTCCCCCCTCAGCCGCTTAATCCAAAATCCCTGGAGGGCCAAAGTGTGGCCACGCTTGATTTATATTCACTGGGTGATCTTAGGTAAGCCACACTTTCTCAGCCTCTGAGGAAGGCAAAGGCTTCTTCTGAACAAACCTTGCTTTAAAAAACACCCCCAGGAATAAGTCATAGGGTTGCATTGGTTAGAAACAAACAACCTGAAGGCTCCCAACAACTGTTGACCTTTCTCCCCTTTTATGCCTTTATGTGTGTGGCAAAGCGAGGAGTGGCAAGAGAAAAAATCACAAGGCCAGACCCAGAGACAGGAATCGTCGGGATCAGTTAAGTTGGAAATTTTCTTTTAAAAATGCAATTTCCTCTCTTCTAACCAAGATGATTGACCTTTAGAATAATGGAACAGTAGCGCAGTGGGTTAAACCACTGAGCCGCTGAACTTGCTGACCGAAAAGTCGGAGGTTTGAATCCGAACAAGGTGAGCTCCCGCTGTTAGCCCCAGCTTTTGCCAACCTAGCAGTTCAAAAACATGCAAATGTGGGTAGATCAATAGGTACCACTTCAGCAGGAAGGTAAGGGCTTTCCATGCAGACATGCCAGCCACATGACCTTGGAGGCGTCTACTGACAATGGCAGCTCTTCAGCTTAGAAGTGGAGATTAGCACCACCGCCAAAGTTGGGCACAACTGTTAAGGGGAAACCTTTACCTTTAACCGTTATTATGAGTCCACAAACTGAGGTTCCACCAGTATTCATCTGATTTGATGCTCTTTTCCTTCATCCTCAATGACAGATCATGGCAGGGTTCGTTGACTTATTTGATCTCTAGATTCTTTTGGAAGGTTTCTATTCATGGCTTCTTTCCATTCTTATGCTAAATCTCAAATTGAGTTAGCTCTCACATGCTATCCTGTAATACCTATTACACAGCCCAATAAAAATATATTGACATCTTGGTTTTTAGGGCTGTTTCTGGGATTATTTGGGGGTATTGATTTAGATAATTGCATTAGAAAGTTTCTTGCATGTAGTTATGATTTTCTATGGGAAAGCAGATGGTAACTGGTAGGTGGCATATGTTCTGTATGTAAAAAAAATAGAGTTGTAAGGGGGGAAAACTGGTGCCATTTTTGGAATCAGCAGGTCAAACATACCCAGAAACAGACAGGTCTTACATATAAGGCACCAAAAGGTGTGTTGGCCAGTATTATCCAATATTCTCGACATCTTTATTGGTTCTTATTTTGTTTCTAAAACTGAACAGAAGTGTGGGTTATGACTCTTAAGCTGCTTATGAGCTTGATGCTCAAAGGACTGTCTCTTCCTGGTTATACCCACCTGGATCCTACATTTAGAGGCTTTTGTTCAGATACCTCCACAAGATGAGAAAACTGGGTGCTTTTTAGTAGTGTCCTAGTTACATAATGCCTTCTTTAAAGCAATACACTTGGCACCTAATTCGACTGCTCTTTCGGTACCAACAAGAGCTTTTAAATCTTGGTGCACCATCTTTTACCTTTCTTTCACTCTTTGTATTATCTGCACTTGATCATCGTCCATCGATTTTCATGCTGCATTGCAATTTCTGTAGCATGCATTTTACTACTGTTGATTTTATCCCATGTATTTAATCTTTTAAGTCACCCTGAGAGCTTCCTATCATAGTACAGCCTTTTAAATGGATAAATGAAAATGGAAGTCCCTTTAATGTTTCAAATGAAAGATTAGCAAAAGCAGGCTCACTTTCAGCTGGGGAAGCATGACTTGTGCATGACCCCATTGCGTATTCATTTAGGAAAGCTAAGTCTAAGCACAATTTTGCATCCTATATTTAAAACGTCCCTATTAAGAAAAGGATTCCTATTAAGAAAATACATTTTAAAGAGTATTGAAGCAATGCCCTGTCAATTACTTCCCCAGTTCAATATTAATAATTTTAACTAGTTTTATTCAGTTTTATTTAGCCAGTAACATGCCTTGTAGTAAAAAGATAACTGTAATCAGAAGTCCCTTTTTAAAATGTCCATTAGTAATGATGGTGGAAGAATGAGTCCAGGACTTTTCATCACTTCTTTGTGGTCAATATCTGTTTTTTTCCCCAATCTCAAAGTATTTTTCTTCTGTATTATGTTGTTCAATATGATGGGTATCCATCAGTGTACTCAATTAATATATACTTTCTTACTCTGCCTGGAGAAAGGTACATGGCTCTCCAAGGGAATAATAGAAAAACTGAGATCTAACACTGAAACTGGCAGGTAGCTTGTCTCCTCTCCAGTACCTTTGAAACTGCTACTTCTGGCTATTCATCCAGAAGGGGAAAAAAAATCAAAGCAAAGGTAATTTTCTAACCATTTTATTTAGACTTTGCGTAATGATTTATTGCTCATCTGCAAGAATTAATATTGCATTCATTAAAAATCATTCATATACAAAATAAACCTATCCCCACCTGGGTTGATGCTATAACATGCTCCCTCCAACCAAACTGAGGTGTTGCCAGGCATGAGAGTTTATTCCATGGCTTATACAGAGATGGAGCCCTTAGCTAAGTCATCTATTGACACTGCAACACAGAGGCAGACAAATGGAATAAAGGTATCCTCCTGAACATCACGGAGGAGTTTTGGAGATTCACTCACATTGGCTTAGAGCAGTGGCTCTCAACTTGTGAGTCCCCAGGTTTTTGGCCTACAGAAATCCCAGCCAGTTTACCAGCTGTTAAGATTTCTGGAAGTTGAAGGCCAAAACATCTGGGGACCCACAGGTTGAGAACCACTGGCTTAGAGGGACCCAAGCCAATTCTAGGATCAAAATGTGTGATAAGAGAATCAAGAAACAAGAGGAGGACTGCGATACAAAAAGGAAAGAACTGATTCTATTAGGGCTGGCTGAACCTAAAATCGGATTCTGGGGAATGGGATGGCTGCAAGTTGAAAAGGCCGAGGGAGATCCTGAATTCAAGTCTGTCATTAGCCAGCACCATTTTGCAAGGCCAGTTGAAACCAAACACTCATCTGGTACAAAAGATACTACAGGACAGTCATTTAGGGGCAGAGAGTAAGCATGGCGGTTGTGCTAAGGTTTGGTGGCTCAGGCTCCTCATCACAGGCAATTTATTTTTCTCAGTGAAGGATAACACCTACATAAGAATAGTGGGACAGATTTCATGAAGATGGAATTAGGAATGTCATCTTCTGTATTTACATCATGTCTTCTGCAAAGATTACATGAAAAGGCAGAAAGTTCAAGGTTGGTCATGTATTCACGATGATTCACAGTAGTTTCTGGCTTGTTCTTACTGCCCCTCAAGACTTCAGCACATATTTGCAATAATCAGACTCAGGCAATATTTGCCTGAACTGCCATTTTTAACTTAATATCCCCCCCCCCCCCAAATCCATGCGGAAGCCTCCCCTCATTTTCATGGCACTAAAATATGGACTGTATGTTAACTTAACATGCCAGCCTAACAGAACTGAGATCATTAAAACAGCAGAGCATTTAAAACGGCAGTGCCAATGAAGTGGGATTCCGCCTTCAAAATTCATTTGCTACAAATGAAGCCTGAAGATGGAAGAAAGTGTTTTACATAAATGACTAATTCTTTATGGGATCAGAGAATTTAAGCTACTATTATCATCCAAGCACCTCCTGTATTGTGCAAATGAAGGAATAAAGTACAAGAGATGGTTCAGCTCAAATATGCTGATCTGCTTCATAGTGGCCCTTAGGAATTCAGCAACTGAAATTATCGGTTTTAAATTTTCTCCAAGCTAGATGCAAAAGGAATTCTCATCCACTGCATTTTAAATAAGGTATTGGGCTGTCTTGATTGGAAGAAGGAAGAAGGAGGAAGAAGAAGAAGAAGAAGAGGAGGAGGAGGAGGAGGAGCAGGAAAGCCTAAAATCCATGGAGTGATGGGAAGAGAGGACGGGTTATAAATAAAGTGTTATTTTTATTGTTATAAATAAAGTATTATTATAGTGGATAGGCAATATCCATTTCAATTCATATTAGCACCCTAGCAACTCATAAGAGAAGATGAAATCTATCTAGCCTTATTTCAGGGTGGGAAATCATGAGGAACTCCAAATGTTCTTGGACTAAACATTCCAGGAGGTCTAGCCAGAGGTGAGGAATGCTGGGAATTTCAGTGTAACAACATTTGGAGAGCTGCACGACTATCACTCTGGCTTAGTGAAGCCAAGCATACAGCAGCAACATGTTTCATTAGGAAAATGGATCATAAATAATATTTGAAATTGCCCCACTGAATGCAATACTATTAAAATCAGGGTTTAGGCATTTGCTGAATATACACCTATAATTTAACTGGCCATAAGGTATCAACTCTCTGTACAGGAAAAGGAGCATTAATCTGGCAGCTAATGAACTGGGGCTCATTAAGGCAATTTAGAATTTGCAGATAATTCCACAGGAAAAAAATAGTATTCTTAATATTTTGCAGATCAATCAACTGCAACTAAGGTGCCCTGGAAAATATTAAATTAAAAGATAAAATCAGGAAATGAATGCCTCACATCACCAAAGGGAATCCACTCCATTGTAGCAGAGCTAAGGAGCTGAAACCATAGTAAAGCAATGGTGATGCGGCTGGGAAATCCCAGAATGTCTGACAGACGGAAAGACTGAGAAATATTAAAAGAATGAGAGCAGACAATAAAATCACATGAATAAAAGAAAAAATACATTTTAGAACTAACACAAAATATGTTCTTTAAAAATATTCTTGCTAAAGCTCTTGTGTAGATTATGTGGTCTGGTCCTTCAGCTTTATGGTCCATCAGTACCTATAGAAAAGGAGAGAGGAAACTAGCGTTAAGCAATGTGAATCACACTGAGGCACGTTGTCAACTACAGACACTCCTGTCTCAGGCATCAGAGACTGCTACCTCAGCCATCGTATTTCTAATCTCTTATTCAACATATCACATCAAATCTCACTAACAACAAAACATCAAGGACATATTTTCATTCAAAAATTCTGTTATTTTTATATCTCAAAGTTCCCTCTGAGGTGCTCAGAACAACCTGACCATCACCTTGGGAGATGTGAAATGTTTCCCTTGTTATGTAATTTCAGAAGGACTGGGCAGGTTTTTGAACTTGATTCCTTGCATCCCAATAGATCACTGACAAGACTACACTACATGTTATGCAGTTGTGGCTAAATTACAAGAAATGGACACGGATTATGTGCAATTGTTATTTGATACTGGAACCGCATGCTTTTGGATCATGTGATTTTATTGTTTATATTAATATTTTAATCCCTTGTTTTAATGTTTAAATATAGTTACATTTTATGATTCAATTGATAGTTTTATTTTACTGTTGTTTTATGTTAAGTTTTCATGTTTTGTAAGGCATTGAATTTTGCCGTGAATATGTTGGAAATCGTTTTGAGTCGTCCCCCACCCCCACCCCGGGGTGAGAAAAGCGGTATATAAATGAAGTAAATAAATAAATTATAGATTCATATTTCAAGATGTTTCCATTTTCTCTCATGAAGAATGTTTACCTGTAATAGTTTGGTTTGAAGGGCCCATTTTTATTGAGTCCCAGATATTTCGCTTGATCATCTGTTAGTTCTGTCAGATGAGCATCAAATGAAGGCAGGTGCAAGCTTGCAACATATTCATCTAGAAAGAACAAAGAAAGATGTATATTGTCGAAGGCTTTCATGGCCGGAATCACTGGGTTGTTGTAGGTTTTTTCGGGCTATATGGCCATAGTCTAGAGGCATTCTAGAATGCCTCTAGACCATGGCCATATAGCCCGAAAAAACCTACAACAACCCAAAGATGTATATTGGCTGGAATGTGTCCAGAGAAGGTTGCCCAAAATGATCAAAGTTTTGGAACCCAAGTCCTATGAGGAACAACCGAGGGAACTGGGTAAAAAGGAGAAAAAAAGGTTGAAAGGGGACATGAGAGCTATGTTTAAATATCTGAAAGGATGTCACATTGAGGAGAGGGCATGCTTGTTTTCCGCTGCCCTGGAGACTAAGACATAATGGAACAATAGATTCAAATTGCCACAAAAATATTCCATCTAAACATTACAAAAAATTATTTGATGATGAGAACTGTTTGGCAGTGGTGGAGTCTCTTTCTCTGGAGGCTTTTCAGCAGAGGCTGGATGGCCATCTGTCAGGAGGGGCTTTGATTTGGTATTCCTTCACAGTAGAGGGCCGGACTGGATGGTCCTTGTAGTCTCTTCCAACTCTACTTCAGTGTGATCTTAATAATCCTATTCATACCCCTTAGACTTAACATAATGCTGAAAGCCATGTGAACTAATAAAAGACTCAGTATAAAGCTACCTTTCAGACCTACCACAGAACAACCAGTCTGGACTAGCATCTGGTTAGTGCCATATGCTGGTGTAAGGTAACCTTTCAACTGCTTCCTTATTCTACCACAGAGCTGCTGAACTGAAATGTCTGGAAGCCCCCAGCAGGTAATATGAGTTCCTATTAGCCAGATGCTTCTGTGATTATCACCATTCAACGACCATGGAATGGCCACAGAAGGGAACTGCATCAGCTCTGTGGTAGGTGTAAGTAAAAGTATGGTAAAAGTATGGTAAAATTATGGAGTGGTAAAAGTATGGTAAATTTCTGCATTAGAAACTACCATGATACACAGAGACATGCAGGATTGCAACCATTATATGAACAGTTAGGGGGAAAAGTCTAGGACAGCATACATTTTTCTCAGCTATGCACTTTCTGCACAGCATTCAGACATGGGATTTTTAAAAAAATTCTAAACAATCTCTCCCAAAGTCACTGGAGAGAAGTTGCAAGCTAAAAGGAGGCATAAGCTTGACTCAATATTAAAAATATTTCATTGTACAATTCTTGCCAGAGGGCACAGGAAATGATTCTGCTTTGTGTTTTCTTCATATTAAAGACATCCCATCAATGTAGTGTTAGGCAGAAATATCCAAAAGTATATTAGGGTATATTAAAGTATATTAGGTCATTCTAAAACTGATGCTCAGAAACTTTATATAAAACAAAGGATTCAGTCTTTAAAGACTTAAAATAAAATTTAAATATCCAGACGCTTGGCATGCATCTATTTTTAGGTTTATAGCCCATCATTTGATATTTATTCCATGGCTAATTATCTCATAAGTTTATCCTTACATGTAAATCACATAAATATAATGAAACAGATCAAATTGACAAAACTGTTTCACAACACAGGAGACAGTTATGTCAAAATATCTAAAATATAGGACCCTAAGGATCAGAGACCATACATAAAATGGGTGAACAGTACATGAATCCTATACAATATTCCCGGAGTAATTTCTGTTTTCAAAGTTTAGTTAGCCAGCACAAAAGTAAGATGAAAGCATCATTCTTGCATGTGAAAGACATGTTAAGAAGGCTGCTTCATAATGACTATGAAGCTACAACCAAGGATTTTAACATTAAATTGGCTCACCCATCTTTTTAGGCAGCAAGTACACATCTTGTTTGTATCGTCCCTCAGGTGCATTGTAAAGCTCAATCAAAGCCAGAGCCTGTGCAAATCAGAGAGATTAGTAAGCAACACCTGCAAACTTCATCCACTGTTTCCAACACACTGTTGCTATGGTTTTGCATACCTATGAGTCAAATCTAATAATTTATTATCAATACAGATTTAGGATAGCAGGAAGAAGGCCATTCTGGACTTCTTGGGAAGAAAGTTCTAGTGTCTAGAACAGGCATAGGCAAACTCACGCCCTCCAGGTGTTCTGGACTTAAACTCCCATAATTCTTAAGAGCCGGTAGGCTGTTAGGAATTGTGGGAGTTGAAGTCCAAAACACCTGGAGGGCAGAAGTTTACCCTTGCCTGCTTTAGAGGCAACCATTAAGGAGGCTGTTGCTTGTGTCCTCACCAACGAAGTTTATGATGGCGGTGGCACTGAAAAAAGGATCTGCCCTGATGACCTCAGAGCCCAGGCCAGGACACAAAGGGAGATATTGTCTGCCACATGGCCTGGACTTGAGCTATAGAGGGACTTTGAATTGTGCCTAGAAACAAAATTGGATGCAGTTAAGCTGTTTTAACAGAGGACTAGTAAGGTCCCTGTAATACATTCCAGTTAGCAAAGTGTAAGTGCAGTAGCTGCAGATTTCAAGCACAGATTTCAAGTGTCTCAGGGAACTGGGACAGTTGGTAAGAAAAGGACTCTTGCCCACCACAAACACCCTGGTTCCACGTTCAGAGCTGAACTGCAAAACTCTTTCTTTCTCTTTCTTTTTTTTTTGGGGGGGGGGGGGGTTACAGCCTGTGCTGGACGGGGTCACACTCCCCCTAAAAGCACAGGTACGCAGTCTGGGAGTTCTCCTGGATTCATCGCTGAGCCTGGAACCCCAGGTCTCAGCGGTGGTCAGGGGAGCTTTTGCACAATTAAAACTTGTGCGCCAGCTGCGCCCGTACCTTGGGAAGTCTGACTTGGCCACGGTGGTCCACACTCTGGTTATATCCCATTTAGACTACTGCAATGCTCTCTATGTGGGGTTGCCTTTAAAGACTGCCCGGAAGCTGCAGCAAGTCCAACGCGCGGCAGCCAGATTACTAACTGGGGCTGGGTACAGGGAGCACACCACTCCGCTGTTACGCCAGCTCCACTGGCTGCCAATTAGCTTCCGAGCACAATTCAAAGTGCTGGTGTTAACCTATAAAGCCCTAAACGACTCCGGCCCTGTTTACCTCTCCGAACGTATTCTCCCCTATGAACCATCAAGATTATTAAGATCATCTGGAGAGGCCCTGCTCTCGGTCCCACCAGCCTCGCAAGCGTGCCTGGTGGGGACGAGGGACAGGGCCTTCTCGGTGGTGGCCCCGCGACTCTGGAACTCTCTCCCTCTGGAGGCCAGAACCGCCCCATCCATCCTAACATTTAGGAAACGGGTGAAGACGTGGCTGTGGAGTCAGGCCTTCGATGAATGAGACAACACCATAGGACCCTGGATGGAAGTTGATGTAGATCCATCTTAATAGGACGACTGACCCCAGTAGTTTTATATATAGTGTTTTTAAATTATTTGGTGCGCTTATATACCGCCAATATCTCAGCCTGTATGGCGACTCATTGCGGTTTACAGCATAATTAAAACTACAATATTACAATTTAATATAAAAATTACACTATAAAATACATACATATACATACATAGTATTGGGCCACCAATACAGTCCAGAACATCTCATTATTAACGTCAACAATCCAATTCGTCGTCCGAGGTTGCTAATCCATGAACAAACATCATCAAGTCAAGTTAGCCAAAAACTTGCTGGAACATCCAAGTTTTAAGTTTTTTCCGAAATGCCATTAGCGAGGTGGCTGATCTTATTTCCATAGGGAGGGCATTCCAAAGCCGGGGGGCCACCACAGAAAAGGCCCTATCTCTCGTACCCACGAGCCGCACCTGTGAAGCAGGTGGGATAGAGAGAAGGACCTCTCCTGAAGATCTTAGGGTCCTGGTGGGCTGATAGAGCGAGATGCGTTCGGATAGGTATGTAGGGCCAGAACCGTTTAGGGCTTTAAAGGTCAAAGCCAGCACTTTGAATTGGGCTCGGTAGCTAATCGGCAGCCAGTGGAGCTGGTACAGCAGGGAGGTGGGGGGGGGGAGGTGGGGGACAAGAGGCGCGAGGCTCCTTTCTGCTTAGATTAGTGCACCTCGTTGGTTGTTCCTTCCTCGGGGTCTAGGCCTCTTCCCTGTGTTCCCTCTTTCCCTGGCCCGTACTCTTCGCTGTAGTCCTCGCCTCTGTTCTTTTTTGCGCTCCTGTCGGTTTTATTATTGTCTCGTTGCTTTGTTCTCTAGCCTGCGTGCGGGTAGCTCCGCGCACCTCGCGGGGCCTG